CTTTATTGACGGTCAAACTCAGTGAATTTGAAGGAGAAGAGTGCGGGTTTGGTCTTATGCTTGCTCCCATCGAGGTTTACACCTTACTTTAACTATTGTATTGTTTTAAGCTTAATTATTATCTACCTAAAATTAATTTAATTAAACCTAATTTTAAAAGTTACACTAATAATGTATATTATGCATATTAGACTATTAGAGGGTGAGGAAGATTTGATCTTTTTAAGAGAGATCGAGATCAGATGTTGATACAAAGGTACGAGGACAAGCAAGTAACCAATTAATTAATCATCACAAGTCCGCCGATTGGAAAATAAGATAGCACGCATTAAAATAATTAGTTCTAGTCTTGTAGGAGATTGTCTCACAATTTCGTTTATTATGTTAATATGTTATAGTCATAATAGGTTAGTAGGTTTAGTAACAAATGTTGCATGCTACGGAGAAAAATGTTAAACTAATAATTGTCTCTACTATTATGTTACGAACTATGACACTATCTAAGGGATCAAATTGTGTTATCTGTTATGTGGCTAACATATACTTTTTTGCTGCGAAAACTTAACCTTTTGTAAAATTATAAGATTCGCTGATTTTGCTCTAAATATTTTTATGTTATAACTCTATTTATGATCAAATAGTGTTTCATAATCAACTAGCTTAGTGATGCTATATTTTTTTTCCTTGTTTTCATTAATTAAATTTTGGTCAAGTCATTATATAATAAGAATGGTATATATATAATATATGTCAACCATAATTATTACTACAAATTTTATAATAATGTGTAGCAGTACAAAAACCATTAATCAAATGGATCATCAAGATATCATGTACCTTATTTTATATGGTATTGCATTTGTCCGTATAATTTAGGTTCTTTATTAAAAAGGGTGTACGTAGATGGCAATAAGCCAATTATTAACTATTTCATGTACCACAAAATAAACCAAATCTTTGATACAGCTATACTTTATAAAATTAATGAAAATTGAATTGTAGATAGATTATGAAGGCTAGTTACTATAAACCGTAATACAAGGTTTAATGTCTCAATTTAGGGGTGCAATCCCCCTAGTTTAAGTCGTAATTACTTCTGATTCTTTTCCGCTCTTGTCTTATCAAGTGAGCCAACACTTTTAACACAGTTTGTTGGTACATGTACGTACATACAAAGTACTGCGTAACAAAAATATAGTTACATAGCATATGTGACTATTACTTTCGAATAAAGCGAGCTATTACCCTGAGCATATATAGTATCTACAGTTATGTGAGTACATAAACACATACATAACTTAAGTCGTACTTGATTTTATCAGGTGCAGTAGTTTGCATAGTGAAAAAGTGTCAGTCATGCATGCATTATAGATATACGTGCACCCATCACAGAGACTCCCGGTTCAACCGGGGGAGCACTGCAGATTTCACCAGGTTGGTTGATGATTAGAATTAATTGAATCATATAATAAAAAATATATATATATATATATAATAAAGTTGAGAAATACTGGTATAACAGCAGCATTATATTACTGGCATTTAGCATGTATACAAATAATAATAGGCAAGTAAGATATGGGAAAGAATGTGATAAAGTTATGGGTTTTTGAAGGCTGTTATTGTGAATTTTTTTTCTGCCTTTCAGGAGGTTGTTATAAAAAGTATAATAATTTTATTTGTAGTACTATAGTATAGTTTTATATATCATGATTTTATATATGAATGAATGAATGAATGCATGCAGATTTCAGAGCTCATGTATGTTGATGGTATAAGTATACTGACAAACTGATGAAATAAAGTAGCTAAGAATTGAACTTGATGTTTTCCAACGATATTTTTTAAATTTAATAGGTGTGGGATGGTTTGCTTCTCTTTTGCATTTTTGCATGCATGCCCCTACGGCCCTACTCAATAACAACTTATTAATCCATCTAACTCCGTGTTTTGAAATAATGGTTACACTTAGGGCCTGTTCTCTTACGTTAAAATTCAGTTTAGTTCAGCTCTTAATTTCCTTCTCTTATAAAATATTCATTTCAGTTCAGCTGAGTTCAATTCAATTCAGCTGAGTTCAGTCAATGAGAACAAGCCCTTACACTGTTTTTCTATATTAGCCTTTTCAAAATAATGGTTACGCTCTATATGTTTCTATTCATCTAAATTGTTACTAGAAAAAAAAAAAATCAAAATTGTCTACAAGACCACTTTTCTTTTCTTTTCTTTTTCTTTTTTCTTTTTTTTTTTATAAATTTTTTATTAATGTGTGATTTACTCGCACATTCGTGAATTAGACCCTGTTTTTTTAGTTTCTAAGCAAAGCCGATTTCAACAGAATAGAGCAGATTTTAACATAGTAATATTGAGCAGAGCAGACCACAAAAACTCAAAAGAACAGGATCGTAATACATCAAAGTATGTATTACAGGCCAATCTAAAAAAATTAAAAGATGCATATGTCAATATATCTTTACTTTTATTTAAAAATCTGTTATAAAATTTGGTGAGTAGATCGAAATAGTATTAAACTGAAGTCTCACAAGTCTATTGAGCAACCAAAGCAGCAGGCTGATTATATTTTGAAAGCTTGAACCCAACCCCGGGAATTGAAGAACTGACCATAGTTGACAGAATTTGAGCCAATTACACCAAATTATATGCACATATTTATATATGCTCTTCTCAAAAAACACAAAATATAATATTAGAAAGAATCAACCATCAATCATTATCTTAATTTCGTCCGTTTTGCTTTGGATTTTTAGCATGAGTTGTTGTCACTCTGTATGATAGAAACAACAATCAAAGCTTGATCTGATAGTTTTGCCAAATCTAGAAGTGTAAGGTGCATGTTCATGCCTTCCTAGAAGGTGCATGGAGGGAATTGTCACCATGATAATTTTGAATATTCGGCGATTATTAAATTAAATACATTTATGTGTGGTTGATATATATAATTAGCGTAATTAGATAAAAGATACTCTACTAAAATACTAGTACGTACTTCCTCCGTCTCTAAATTACATTCCTCTTTCTCTCTATTATGTGAGGAATAAATGCTAGAAAGAGGAATGTAATTTAGGGATGGAGGGAGTAATAATAATTCTTTCTAGATTGTCTAGATAAATCGACTTTATAGTTTATATATATATATATATATATATATATATATATATATATATATATATGTATTATTAAGACATAATTCCAACTCAAATTTCAATTCATGAACAAAATAATCTTATCAAATGGTCCAACTTATATCCAACCAAACTCGTTAACCAGATTGATCCATGAATCCATCCAATAACCATGCCTAAACGTTTATACTATGTCATTTTGGTGCAATCTGACCTCATAATAAGCTATGGTATGTGTTAAAAGTCTATGAAATGTTGCATGTTGCTACTAGCAACATTATATATTAAGGTTTACGATAGCACAACATGGTTGTATAGTTTGAGCTAGCAAACCCATGTGTTAGGCTTACTAATTAAATTAAGTTTATTACCCAAACATACATTGCAACGTTCTCTACTTAGCATAAATTCGGCATGCGATAAGCTTAACTTGTCTCTATTTTTGGGCTAAGCTAGTAGACCCAAAAGGTGATTAGAATTAATAAAGCTTAAAATATCACTACGTACATATCTTCAATATTACCAGCAATCCAGCAGAGTGGTGTTACTTTTATTCTATCTATTTGTCTGTCTATGGTCTATCTATTTATCTATCTACTTACTTTTAGACCAGAGTTAATGTTACTCGTACTTTTCATTTTACGGAGATTATATACCTCTATCAAATCTTCGACACTCTGACTAATCATATAGATATGAACCCTTTAGAAACTTAATTTTAGACTATAGATTTATCAAATTATTAAGGCCGATACTTGGATATGAACATGAATTAAAACAAAGTAGTATGATAATTTAGTATCATTTGAGTAGAGAGTTATTTTTATTTTAAGATCATACTACTAGCACACCTAGCCAAATAACAAATTAATTACGGAGTAATTTAATTGCTGCTAGAGTACCTTTCCTTTTACCTCATTTTTTAAATACACGTACCTTAATTTTCTGATAGACAGAAAGTCTTTATTGCACTTCCCTCAATAGACATAGTACTTTGTATAAAAATTTGCATCCCCTTCCCCAATCTCTCTCCTCCAACTTTTTTTTCTCTCTCCTTTTATTTTCAAATCCATTGAATTTATATTTTCAAATAACTAATTAAGATAATTACGAATAGTAATCTTTTTTTCATCATACCAGTAATATTTATGTACATACTTGGTACTCGTAGTATTAATTGATTTTGTAAACAATTAATACTAGTTCAAATCTAATCATGACGGAGTATTTTAAATTTTACAGCAACAAAAAAAGTTGTAAAAGGGTGTGATAAGGGATACAGTACTACATTTCTGGTTGTTAATTAAATGATTATATATTTAAATTTTAAATTAACAAAAACATTGTGATAGGGTGTGACTATACATTTTTGGTTGTTTAATTAAATAATTATAAAAAATACTTATCCGAGATACGAGTATACGGAGTATGTAGTATTATTTATCTTGCTATACGAGTAATATTTTTTTTGTGTTTCAATTTATGTTTTATAACCGTCAAATCAATATCAATAATTTAATCGTAAAAACCAAATATATACAATTTTTATATGTGTATTCAACATGCTTACATGCATAATTTTAATTTACGACAAAAGGAAAGTCAAATATTAGTTACACTTAATTAAGAGTATTATACTCCCACACAACTCGATTAATTAATAATAATGTTCATAAACCATTTCCCCTATTTTTAGCAATTTTTTTCATTCAAAATTAATCACTATTAACCAATAAACACCAATATGTATACAGTGACATATAGTAAGCTATATGGTACCACAATAGGGCGAATTTCAGGCTACAACTAGTTGTACAATTTTCAATTACACTTGACTTGTACGGGTGCTACAAACTTGTTTAATTAAACTTACAAATTGAGGAGAGAGAAAGAGAAGGAGATTATATAAATGCTACAATTGCTTTGAAACAAACAATTTTCTCTTCATAATTTTGACCATTCCTCTTCTTCTCCTTCCCTCTATCTTCACCCTTTTAATATTTTCCTTAACAATGGTTTTTTCTTCTTCTATTTCTTCTCCTCTATTATTAACCCTTAAGTTTTCTTCTTCATTTCATGCATGAAACTAAGCTAGTTTGAATCTAATCCCTTTTTTAAACACTCTCTTAACAAAGAAATTAAACTAACCCTAAATACCTTATATTATAAAGTTTAGTTTATTTTCTTTTGTTGTCTAATTAAGATATTTATAAAAAAAATGGCTTCAATGAATTGGTTAGGTTTTTCTTTATCTCCTCAAGAAATTCCTTCTCAATCTCCTAATCAAGATCATCATAATCCCTTCACAAGCACCACCGGAGAGTGTTTTGATCTCGGTACCGACTCACCGCCCGGTCATCCTTCTCTCAATCATCTTCCTCCTCCCTTTGGCATCCTTGAGGCCTTCCATAGATCAACAAATAATCAATCCCAAGGTAATTTTTATTTTATTTCAAAATCTAGTATTTTTTTTTTTCAATTTTTTTTTTTTTGTTGGTCTTACATAACAAACCTACAAATTCATGCCCTAGATTAACTAGAAAATGATTTTTACCACTTTGATTGGTTTACAATGTTTATTATTCTCATTTTGCAAAACCCTAATCCAAAATAAAAAAGGATTAAATGGTGTTTTAATTTAACCAACCTCATCTTTTTTTTTTTTTTTTTATTGTTTGTAATTAATTATTTTTTATTTTCTATTTTTGAAAAATGAAAAATGGGAGAAATTTAAGAAAGGAAAGTTTGTGACTTTTTGCAGATTGGAATTTGAAGGGAAACTCAGAGATAAGTATGTTAATGGGAAACCAAGAAGTTGAAGAAGAGCCAAAACTAGAGAACTTTCTAGGAAGCAGCCATTCTTTTAGAGATCATCAACAACAAATTAATGGAGATCACTACAGGTTTAACACACCACAAGAAAATAATAACAATAATAATAACATGGCAAACCCTAAAGACACTACTACTACTAGTAACAACAACAATAATAATAATAATGGACTCAATGTTTCCATGATCAAGACATGGTTGAGATCAAACCACCCTTCTCAATCAAATTTAGTCGAAGGTAGTGGTGGCGGTGGTGGTGGTGGTGGGGCCGGTTTAACAAATGCGCAAACATTGTCCCTTTCGATGGGTACCGGTGGTGGGTCACACTCCGCCATGCCGCTACTCGCGACAGGCGGAGGTGGTGGAGAAATAATGGAAAGTAGTTTGTCCGATAATAGTAGTAAACAACAACAACAACAAAGTGATGGTACGACGGGTGTATGCAATAATACGACTAGTAATACGACTACTATTACTAATGTCGAAGTTCAAAGTGGTGCACTTGTTGAATCCGTTCCTAGAAAATCTATTGATACTTTTGGACAACGTACGTCCATTTACCGTGGTGTAACAAGGTATGTATGTACATTATTCTTTTTTTTTTCTTTTAAGTTTATCGAAAAATAAAAACAAAATATCTATTATCTTTCTTCATATAATAATATACTTGTATTTAATTATTATATGGTTTAAAAAAATTTCTTAAACTTTGCACCTTGGGTATCCAATGTACTCGATAATCGATCTTTAACCATTTGTTTTTGTACTTAATTTCTTGGTTAATTGATAATTGAGTTTTTTTTTTTTCTCCCAAGGCTTTTGTTTTCGTATTTTATTTTATAAAATTATAATAGTCCAATCAAATTTATAAATTTGAAATATTGTTATACTTTTATCTTATTATAATTTATAATATATGGTTTTTCAGACATAGATGGACAGGAAGATATGAAGCTCATCTATGGGACAATAGTTGTAGAAGAGAAGGGCAAACTCGTAAAGGAAGGCAAGGTAATTATTTTAAAAATTATTAAAAAGAATTTTAATTAATTTTCTCTTCATAAAATTAATTTTTTTTTGTTCTGATTAATCAGTAAATTTGTGTATAATTAAAGAAACTAATTATATGTTTCCTTTTTGGGTGTACAACAATCGTGTGTTTGATGGTGGGCAATCTTGCGGAATGTTGCAGTTTATTTGGGTAAGTAATATATAGTGGAGAACAAAAAGTTCCTTTTTGAGCCCTTTTAATTGTTAATTATAGTACTTAGATACTCTTACAAAATTTTTATTTTTAATAAGAATAGAATCTAATAGATCTTATTTTATGTATAATTTAATTTATATACTATGGTATATAATTTATTTATTTTTTTTCTGATTTTATTCTCTCATTTTTGTGTATATATAATTTTTAGGGGGTTATGACAAAGAAGAAAAAGCAGCTAGAGCTTATGATTTGGCTGCATTAAAATACTGGGGTACCACTACCACCACCAACTTTCCTGTAAGTTTTTTCATTTTACATAATTATTATTATGACTCTTGATTAATTAAATTCAATTATTTCATCTTATGCAATCGCATTTTAAATTTAGATCGAGTATGGAGCAGTTTAGGGTTGTTCGAGTTGAGATCGAGATTTTACAATTTTATCATACTTGCATATCGAAGTTATAAACTTAGATGTACATGTATTTGCTTGCATTTAAGCTTGATTATTTCTACTTTAGTGTCTTATAGACTTAAATGCATGGTTGTGTATGCAATTAACCTACATAATAGTACTTTTTCATTTCAAATATGGTGTCGTTTGAGGCTAAAATTTACATGCTAGAATAAAACTTTGGCAGTTGTTACATTAATTATAATATCTAACGTGATTAATAATAGTATTGCATGAGAAATCTAAAAACACAATCAAGTAATTATGAAGTATATATTAATTGAAGTATGTAATTGAAAGTGAAAAGAAATGGAGTCATTATTATTTGGTTTATTATTATGTTTTCTACTAATTAATAAAGTTTAAATTCCACAATATCATATCCCGGTTTTTCTTAATTTATCTTTCATGAGACAATATTTATGCAAAAGCTTTACTCAAAGTGCAAGCATTTTCACTAATTAAGTGCACCATAATTAAGGATTTTATGTCTCTATTATCTTAAACAATTAATTATTTGATTAGGGAACATGCTCCGGTGCTAATGGTGATAGTTTTGCACTATAAACTCATTGTTAGTGGAAGCATGACTCAGGAATTTTGCATTGCATGTCCATCCTTTTTTTTTTTTATCAATAACATTATTAGCATTTTTTTGTTGTTATTAGCATTATTATATACTTGTAATTTGAGTACTAATATTATTATGATTATAATTATTTTTATAATTTTCTTCAATAATTCAGATTACTGATTATGAGAAGGAAATTGAGGATATGAAGCATATGACGCGCCAAGAATATGTTGCATCTCTACGAAGGTAATGTGTTTGGTTTATACTTTGTACATTTTAATCGATCAAATTTTGTTAGAGGGGATTGGAAGATCGAATTAGGTTTAATTTACATGGTTAATGGTTATTAAACATTACATAATTCTCTTAATACAGGAAAAGCAGTGGATTCTCTCGTGGTGCATCGATTTATCGAGGAGTAACAAGGTATTTAAATTTTCATTTTGTTATATACAAAATATTCTTATTGTTGTTTTAACCTAAAAGTATAAGCTCCAAAAGAAATAATTAAGTTTAAATAAGATCAAATAAGTTTAGTTAAGGACTTAAAGTTTTCATATATTACTAATTCAGATAAATTCTGATACGATCTTTTAAGCGTAAAACTTAAATAAAGAGAATTCATATAAAAATAACGAAGTCATATTGCATCAAGCTAGGTTACCATCATTAGAGAAAACTAATCTTCCTCAAATAATTTAAAGGAGCTTAATAGTTCAATGCCCTTTGTAATTACTATATAATATAACCTAAATGACAGTAGACAATTCAGAAAGTCACCTTATTAATTAGTAATTATACTCTCTTTTGGAAGTTCATGACATAAACAGGTCTGACTACTTGTTTTAAGCAGGAGTAGTGTACAAGGTAAAGGCTAATAAATACACACCAAATTATTGTTTTTATGATAAGATACAAAAGCTAATGACACCAAAACACTTTAAATGTTCACTAATAAAATTATATTATGTCAATTAAGCTGATTCCTTTATTAATTTTGCAATGTATTATTAATTAATCCATTATTGGAATTGCAATTAATTAGAAACATCACTTAAAGTAGTATTAATATTCCAGAATTAGTAAGGAATTTCAATTGAATGCATAATTTTTTTTTTTAGTTCCGTCTAATTAACTATAATAAAAATAATCAAATCAAATCAAATCAGAAGCTTCTTCATCTTTAAGTTATATAAATAGATTGAATTATAATTTTCAAATTTTGACCACATTCTGCAAAATGCAATCTTAAGTTGGATGTATGCATATGAGAATGTCATACTACCCCTATATCCAAATCTTAATTAATATATTCCACAAAATAAAAAATAAATTATTTAATTGAATGACCAAATCTTTAAGTCTCATTATTTATTTAATAAAACTTTATAATATAATGATTTTGATTGTATTCTACTTTTACTACAATACGTGTGGATAGGACATAATTTATTCACTTAGTTCACATGTATTCTTTTAAGTACTTTATAATATAAAATTTATAATATTAATATAGTTTAGAATAATATGAAAATCTTATTTGACTGGAATAAAAGACCAAGTTAAAAGGATACAGTCTCATGTGCCCATGTGAACTCTGCCTGCAACTGTTGCAGGAATTTTGTAGCCTAATGTGCCTACTTTTACCACCAAACATGCACATAATTAATTAATTAATTATGTAAATTCTAATAGTAAAACCCTAACAAGTACAAAGTTATTAAATGTTAATTATAACATTAATGTATTAATTATGCTAAGTTTATGCATGTCTTGACTAATTGTTATTGTTTATTTTGGTTAGGCATCATCAGCATGGTCGTTGGCAGGCTAGGATAGGCAGGGTTGCTGGTAACAAAGACCTCTACCTAGGCACTTTCAGTAAGTAACAATTATCTTTATATTGCTTAAGCTGGTATCGCGTAAGGGATAAGACTGCATACACCCGATAAGGTTTTAAAGGGAGTTGCTGAACATTGTGTTGTTGTGCATTAGTATAGATCATTAGATGGTAATGAAACGGGCTTAACTCGGAACACTATTGTACATTGCTCCAAAACCATTAATGCCAAGGCCATGATATGCAACATTAGCTATACTAATGGTACTATACTAGGAAAAGAAGAATGAGGAGATGCCCCCGAAGTGATGAGTGTTCGATTCCTCATATCCCCACATTCCTGTGATACGGTGGGGGCCCTTTTTGTATTTTACCGTTTAAAAAAAAACAAATGTAAAACTAGGAAAAATTCACTGATGTATTATCAAACTACAATTGTGCTCATCATTACAGAAATGTCCTGCATATACTAAAAAAAACACCCTGCATCAAACTAGCCTTTTTGTATATTCTCTACATGTATATATACAATACTTTTCGGACTCTAAATCTTGTTACTACTTTGACGGTAATTGTCTCATAAAAAAAAATTCGCTAGAGGGCTGTAACATATTTTGCAACATTATACTAAGGGCTTTCAACTGTTATAGGCACACAGGAGGAGGCAGCAGAAGCATATGACATAGCAGCAATAAAATTCAGGGGACTAAATGCAGTAACAAACTTTGAGATAAACAGATATGATGTGAAAGCCATACTAGACAGCACCACACTTCCCATTGGTGGGGCTGCAAAGCGGTTGAAAGATGTTGAGGAATTGACAGCTGCACCAGATAAACAGATCATAAGGGCAATTGCTGCTGTTGATGATCATGAAACTTCTCAGCTTACTAATGCTGCTTATGGTAATGGGACTCCTAACTTCCATTCGTGGCCCGGGATCGCCTTCCCTACAGCTCAAGCTCAACCATTGGCAATGCACTACCCTTATGCTGCTGCATCACAACAGCAGCAGCAGCAAAGGATGTGGTGTAAGCAAGAAGTACAGGACACTACTCATGACTACCAAGATCATCTTAATCAGCAGCTTCAGTTGAATAATGGGACTCATAATTTCTTCCAGATGCATAATTTGATGGGGTTGGAGAATCATTCCTCTAATTTGGAGCATGCCTCAGCAGGGTCAAATCCCGGTGTTTACGGAAATGGGAATGGGAGTGACAGTGTTGGTGGTGGTGGTGGCTATGGATTGCCATTTGGGATGTCTACAGTTATAGCTCATGAAGGGAATAATGGGAATGGAAATGAGCAAAGTGGGTATGAAAATTACTACTATTACTCACACCAAGGAAATAATGGTACTAACAATGCTATTGGTGTAAGAGGGGCTGTTGGGACTTATGATCAAGGGACAGCCTGTAACAACTGGGTCCCAACCGCGATCCCAGCACTCGTTCCGAGGCCTAATAACATGGCTGCTGTTGGTGGTCATGGAGGAGGTGCAATCCCTACATTCACTGTGTGGAATGACACATAAAATCAAAAGGAAAGAAAGGGTGAAGAGTAATAAGATGGAAGGAAAGGATTAAGAAGGTTTTGGGGTGTACACAACTCATTTCCTAGGTTTGAATATAAGGATTAAGAAGGTTTTGGGGTGTACACAACTCATTTCCTAGGTTTGAATATTTTTACTAGTATTTATTTCTCATTCCTCCCATTTTGTTATATTTACTCCATTTAACAGAATTAACTAATTAGGAGGATCAAGTTAGATTTTTTTTTTCTTCTTTATTTCAGATCTATATTATAAGGAAATTGCACAGGGATCTAGCCTGGAGTTCAGTAATAGCAAAGGTTTTGAGTTTTTAGCTCACTTTTGCTATGATTTTGAGAACTTTGGGTGAATTAGATCCTCGGAAAGGTTTTTTAATTTATTTTTTCTTACTCCTTTAACAACACCATGCTTTGTAATTTTGAAATAACTAACATTATGATACAAAGAATGGGCTCTCATTTCTGTATACTTTCTGTTTTCAGCAATATTTTACTTTGGTCTATATTTATTTCTGCTTGAACTTTTCATTATTCACATTTCCATTGTGTACATATAACAGCAAGCAGTAGTTCAGAGAATGTACTAATGTGCAGTAGTTCAGAGAATTTTAGCAAACAGAAATAACAGCAAGCAGGAATTGAATCTTCCCTGTTATTCTGACAGTCTAAGACAAAGGTATAGGGAAGTTAAAATACTAGTTTCCTTAATCATGCTATAGATCCTTGAGTGAAGACATGTTATTCATATTTGATTAAATTAAGACTTCTATTTCTAGCTTATATAGAGACTCTTACCTCTGGGGCTAGGCGGCGTGGCACGTACTCAGCCATTGTGGCGTACTGTTGTGCTTGTCAACCATCTCAGGTTCAGGCAACATGCCTACTTTTGTAATAAGTGTGACCATAGCACATGGCTAAGTGTTGGGTTCAATTTGGCTCAGTCATGGCAGGGAGACCTTACGTTGTGCTGACCTATGTGCCAACATGGCTCACTCCTGTCCACTTTAGGTTTGACAGTAGAATGAATTTTCTAAAATCAAAATACAGCCTATTATATAAGTTGCTAAAATCATCTTATATTTGAGCAAATTTTTGCAAGAAGCAAATGAAATGTCAATCCTTAGGTCAACTGATATGATAAGTACAGTTTTGTTGAGAACTTTTCTTGAGCTGTGATCACTGACGAAGGATGACATTTTAAAAGTTATGTTAAGTTGAACCCACCAACTCTCTAACATACATGATAAACTCTCAATAAGCATCCAATTGAAGCTTTTCAAAAGTAGATTATAGTCAATCATACCAAGCTTAACCCGTAATATATAAGTAATCCTCATAATGCACAAGTTGAAAAAAGACAGATAAACTTGACCATAAATACAAGTCAAGAAATGAAGTGGTATAATCAAAATACCCTGCATAGACTAATGATGCAAGTAAACTTGCTAAAAACTTTTGAATGATAAGTAAATATGTATGTGCCATATTGGCACATGCGCCATCTTGGACCGAGACAAAATGAGCCCATCACAAGCCCGACATGGCTCGAAGGGCCAATACAATTTAGCGTTGAACTGTTATAAATAACCAAAAAGCAAAAATCTGAGTTATTGAAAGGGGACCGTCACTCCACCAATATAACATGACATGTGAGTCAGGTCGTGTATAGACCTTGTTGAAAGATTGGCACACCACGAAATTTACGTGGCCCGTTTAAGCACATAACAACCCCGCTGGCAGCCAAACACATGAGTTGTACGACCCGCCCCATCCCCACCTCTAATAAGAATTTAAGAACATTAAGGTAGAAAAGATTGACCTGGGTCAGATTCCACAAGTCCAAATCTTAAGCATTCTCCAACTGACCCGGGTCCACGCGCCCACCCGCTCAACTACTTGGAATGAGAAGCTCTCAAGGTATCATTAGAGTAGGACCCGCCGTATAATCTCACATTCTCACCTGCAACATGATATAGCAGGATATATTAGTTTAACATGTGTATTTGTAGTATTAAAACTAAGATCTATTGATTCAATTGTCCTAATCACATAACTACTCTACTAAATTAAATCATACAACAGCTAAATAACACATGAAACTCATTATTAACTGTTAAAAAATGGAATATAAGCATAAATTTTACAGCAAAAGTTCTCAGAAAAATCCAAGAATACAGCAGATACAGAATGTTTTTCTTTTCTTCAATCAGAACCGAGTTCTGATTCCCATACTTTAAGAAATTCTCCAAATTACAGGTAAAAGTTGCTTCTTTTCATTTCTTGCAACTTTTATATTTTTGAGTTGTCATGGAAAACATTAAGAACTTGATCATATTGTTATTCTTCTGTGTTATAACTGTTCTATTCAATACTGTTTCTGCTTTGAGCTCTGATGGGCAGGCTTTGGTTTCGCTTTTAAACGAATGGGCGGTTCCGAAATCTGTTAAACATAGTTGGAATACTTCCCAACTTACACCTTGTTCATGGATAGGTGTTGAATGTGATAAAAAGAAGAATGTTATTACTCTAAACCTGTCCAATTATGGCGTTTCGGGTCGTTTAGGACCCGAAATTGGTTTGTTAGATCATTTACAGACACTTGATCTTAGTTTCAATACAATTTCTAGCTCCATCCCTATTGAAATCTCCAACTGCAGCCTTCTTCAGCTGTTGGACCTGTCAGTAAACAATCTCACCGGCGAAATCCCAGAAAATTTTGGGAACTTGCAGAATCTGCAGGCCCTCAACTTATATCAGAATTCATTAGTGGGTCAGATTCCTGAGTCTTTGTTTCAGATCCCAAATCTTCAGTATGTTTTCCTCAGTAGTAACCGGCTTAGTGGGTCTATTCCTTCAAATGTAGGAAATGCAACTGAACTTTTGAGTTTTTGGGTTAATGATAATCAGTTGACTGGTACTATACCGCCTTCAATTGGACATTGTTCAGAACTGCAAGAGGTTTACCTTACTGATAACCTCCTGAGTGGTAAGTTGCCATCGAGTTTGATTAATCTCGAAAATTTGGTTAATTTAGATGTAAGCTCAAACAACCTGAAAGGTAGCATTCCTTCTTTGGGTTCTGGTAGCTGCAAGAGTCTGCAGACTTTAATCTTGTCAGTAAACCAGTTTACTGGGGTCATTCCACATGGCCTGAGCAACTGTAGTAGCTTGACAACCTTCACCGCCATGACAAACAAGCTGACAGGAACAATCCCATCTTCTCTAGGGCTGCTCACTCAACTGTCAATACTTTATCTAGCTGAAAACGCGTTGTCAGGGAAGATACCCTCAGAGCTTGGTAATTGCAAGTCTCTGACAGAGTTACTTCTAAATGATAATAAACTTGAGGGTGAAATTCCAAGTGAACTTGGGATGTTATCTAGTTTAAGCCGCCTTCAGTTGCATAATAATCACCTTATGGGTGAGTTTCCACTTGGTATTTGGAGGATACGGAGTCTTGAGTTGATTCTTATATACAATAACAGCTTACAGGGGGAGCTGCCTGCTGAGATTACCGAGCTCAAAAACCTCAAGAATCTTTCGATATTTGATAATCAGTTCTCTGGGATCATACCTCAGGGATTGGGGATGAATTCCAGCTTGGTCATGATTGATGTCACAAACAATAAGTTTACTGGGGAGATACCGCCCCACCTTTGTTTCAATAAACGATTGCAGGTGCTTGACATGGGCAACAATATGCTCAGTGGAAGCATACCTCCTGATGTTGGACGTTGCACTAGTCTGACAAGGTTAAGATTTGAACGAAACAACCTCACAGGGGTGCTTCCAGAGTTTGAAGAAGATCATAGCCTTTTATTCATCGACTTGAGTGGAAATAAGATTGATGGAAAAGTGCCTGTAAGCCTTGGTAACTGTCAAAGTCTCACCTGGATCAATTTCACCATGAACAACCTTTCTGGCTCTCTACCTTCAGAGCTCGGAAACTTGACAGAAATTCGTTCTGTTTATTTATCTCGTAATAATTTGGAGGGCCCTTTGCCACCAGAACTAGGCAGTTGGGGTAAGTTACTTAAGTTGGACTTGTCTTTCAATTCTTTGAATGGATCAATTCCATCAAGTCTTAGAAGTTTGACAGCCTTGTCTTACTTAGATTTGAGTGAGAATCGTCTCACTGGTGGAGTTCCTCCTTTTTTGTCTGAACTTCAAATGCTCCAAGAACTTCATCTTGGTGGAAATTTACTGGAAGGATCAATTCCTTCCTCAATAACTGCATCAGAGAATTTGATCCTGTCTTCCTTGAATCTTAGCAACAATCGTTTGACAGCTCACTTACCGACTGAACTTCAGAGATCGGCCAATTTACAGCAGATAGATTTATCTCACAACCACTTTACAGGGTCGTTGGAAGCTCTTGCTCATATGCCTAGTTTAGCTACTGTGAACATATCTTATAATCTCTTCTCTGGTCCAATTCCCTCAACTTTGTTGAAGCTGCTCAGCAAGTCGCCGTCTTCCTTTCTAGGTAATCCTGAGCTTTGCATGGACTGCAGTCACTCCAGTGGTTCTAACTGTGAAGCAAGCGGGAATATCAAAATATGTAATGCAATGCAGAATAATCACAAGAAAAGACTCCGCGGCATTCAGATAGCAATGATAGTTCTTGGTTCATCGATCTTCACAATTCTTGCAGCACTTTCTCTGTTTTATGTACTTGTCAAGTGGCGAAAAGAACAGAAAAAAGATGTTGAAGCTTCAGGCAAGGGAAATTCCTCTCACTCATTTGGAAAAATAATGGAATGTACAGGAAATCTTGATAACTCGTACATCATAGGGAGAGGAGGCCATGGAATTGTCTACAAGGCAGTACTAGGCTCAGACGAAGTTTATGCTGTCAAGAAGCTTGAACTTGGTGGAGAAAGGAGAACGAGTATGAGCATGATGAGAGAAATTGAGACATTGGGGCAGATCAAGCATAGGAATTTAGTGAAACTGAAGAATTTTTGGGTAACAAAGAATTATGGCCTAATACTGTACGAGTTCATGGAAAATGGTAGTCTTGGTGATGTTCTTCACAGGAAGAGTCCACAGGCAATAATAAGGTGGGATGTTAGGTACAAGATAGCTCTTGGAACAGCCCATGGATTAGCTTACCTCCACTTTGACTGTGATCCTCCTATTCTACACCGTGACATTAAGCCTGAGAACATACTCCTCGACTCAGATATGGAGCCACACATCTCTGACTTTGGCATTGCTAAGCTTCTACATCAAACCTCCATTTCAACACAATCATATGCAGTTCCTGGGACAATAGGCTACATTGCTCCAGGTAATAATGCTATGTATTTTATGTCAAGAAAATTCCCCCTTTAATGCTATGTATTTTATGTATTAACTTTTGTCACCCAATATTTATGGTACAGAGAATGCCTATGCAACTACATGGAGTAAGGAGTCGGATGTATACAGCTACGGAGTGGTTTTGCTTGAAATGTTAACCAGAAAGAAAGCTGTGGATGCAATTTTCCCAGAGGGAATGGATTTAGTTGGATGGACAAGATCGGTGTGGCACAGCTCTGAACAGATTGATAAGGTGATCGATGTCACCCTCCTAGAAGAGTTCCTGGATTCGAAAGTCATGGAGCAAGTTTATGATGTTTTCTTCATAGCTCTAAGATGTACTGAAACGGAGCCAAGAAAAAGGCCAACCATGAGAGATGTTGTGAAGCAGTTAGAAGATGCAAATCCTATTGTAAGAATGAAAAAAGAATCCTAGCAGTTCTTTGTTAAGGTTTCACATTATTCACATCTTTCCAACCCTGTAATTTTCTAGCATCTCTGAATTGTATATAAATACATAGTGTCTATAACATACGTGTCAAATTTTATATTTCTTGTCAAACATTGACATGGTTGACAAGAAACAATTCAAACTGTTTTCTAGATTTTAGTCAAGTATATACACAGGAAAGTGTTGTAACTAGAAAGGTATTGGCTTTGATGAAGTAAAACAAGAGACAAAAAAAGGTTTTTTGAAGGTGGAAATTTCCTCAATTGAAAAGACTATAAAAACCACCCTTTTAAGAGATCTACATTTCTATACTGAATCAAAAGGGGTGTTTACAACAGACTTCACATCTGCAAGACTACGGTGCTGAAACTCGTGCATCAGTCAGGCAACCAAAGCAATAATGATCGATTATTGCAACAGATGACTTCCTTCCTGCCTAAGTGCCTACTGCCTAGGCAGTAGGCACTACAGCACAGCCTGCTCAGGCAAATCATCAAGACTTCAAAAACCCAATCAGCAACTCTGTTTCAATAACATCCCAAGGTTTTCGCGCTTGTGCAAGTTGTGCAAGTTGTGCAGTTGTGCTTCGGCACATAACCACAAGTCTCCAAGTTGCACTCAATCAACTCCCAACTTTAGTTTTCCCGTTTGTATTTTCTAAGATTCTTATGTCATCAACATTTCGGTATAAATAGAGCATGTACTCGTTCTAGTCCTTGAAAGAGTCAAGTGAAACGCCAGTCTTTAGGTCATTTAACCAATAGTCTTTTTGAGAAACAACAACATTCAATATACTGCGTTGATAATTTTGGTTTTTGTGAAAAAATGATCTGCCCTTTCTCACTAAGCAGGACATTTAATAATCTAGCATACCACTAGTCCACTAGAAATATGACGCTTCAAAGAAAACATAATTTAAGGCAAAACAATACCTCCAAGATACATGACAATCTTCCACAACGCTTCCAATCAGAGCTCGTCGAATGCACAGCAAAATCAATTATAATCAGCTTAAGGCATACATGACGTTCCATACACCTGCTCATGATAATAAACCAGATTAGATAAGTCCAAAATACCAGTATTCAAAATCTTACAAAACATTAAAGTAAGATAACAAAATTAAGAAGAGTAGATTTAAGATTATAGGAAAATTTTAAGCCATGCATAAAATTCCACTCTCTATATATGGACTCTAGAATCTATTACATCCAAGGCTCCAAGTGCATGAATCCTATCGGAAATCAGTTATACCACGGGTTCGAGCCATAGCACATGCTTACATAAAAGCGTATGACAAGTAAGAAGGATGAAAACTTTTGATAAGCATGAAGGGTAACTGAACAAGAGAGGCCTGAACCAGATGACAGATTTTTCTATTTTTTTAATGTTGACGTGAAAACTCCACATCACCAACACACTTCAAACGACCGTAATCTTTTTCTAAAGATGTTGTATGACTTTTGATTAACGAATTGATTTTAGTTCCAAAAAAAAAAAGCCCGTGGTTTCATTAGAGTGAGACCCACCTGCAACTTGATATAGTAATAAGCAGTACTACTTTGAACAGGAAAGATTAGATGTCCTAATCTTATCCCAGCTCATCACACTTCATCCCACCAACTAAACAAAATGCTTTAAATATTGTAAACGACTAAAAAATACACATGAAACTCATTGACCCATATAAAAATGAAGGAATAAAAATAAAACATTGAATTTGCAAAGTCCTTTCTGTTGAATTTCTGTAATATAAGCATTCATTGAGCAGCAAAGTTCCCAATAACAAGAAGACAGCAGACACAGAATGTCATAGATTTTAATCTAATTCCAGGTTAGATTCTTATTCTTTAACTTCTCTTCCAAACTTGAAACTTCTTATATTTTTACTTTTCATGGCAAAAATAAGGAGCTTCATCATCTTTTTATTCTTCTGTATTATCACTGTATTATTCAGTACTTTATCTGCTTTGAGCTCTGATGGGCAAGCTTTAGTATCGCTTTTAAGCAAATGGGAAGTTCCGAAATCTGTTAAAAGTAGCTGGAATTCTTCCCAGCTTACCCCTTGTTCTTGGATAGGTGTTGTATGTGATGAAAACCAGAATGTATCTACTCTTAACTTAACCAATTATGGCATTTCTGGTCCTTTGGGGCCTGAAATTGGCAGATTAAGTCATTTAGATACACTTGATCTTAGTTTTAACGCTATTTCTGGTTTTATTCCTGTTGAGATCACCAACTGTAGCCTTCTTTGGCAGATGGACCTATCAGTAAACAATCTCACTGGTAAAATCCCAGAAAATTTGGGAAACTTGCAGAATCTGCAGGGCCTCGGCTTTTATGAGAATTCATTAGAGGGTCAGATTCCTGAGTCCTTGTTTCAGATCCCAAATCTTCAACTTATTCTCCTCAATAATAACCGCCTTAGTGGGTCTATCCCTTCAAATATAGGAAATGCAACTGAGCTTTTGAGTTTTTGGGTCAACAATAACCAATTGACTGGTAGTATACCGCCTTCTATTGGAAATTGTTCAGCCCTCCAAGAAGTTTATCTGTTTAACAACCTTCTGACTGGTGTGTTGCCATCGAGTCTGATTAATCTTGAAAGTTTGGTTGAATTAGATGTAAGCACAAACAACCTGAAAGGCTCCATTCCTTCTTTAGCTTCTGGTAGTTGCAAGAATTTAACGAAACTAGCCTTGTCAGTAAACCAATTTGATGGGGTTATTCCACAAGGCCTTGCCAACTGTAGTAGGATATCAGAATTCTCTGCCAGGACTAACAAACTAATAGGTACAATTCCATCTTCTATTGGCCTACTCACTGAACTGTCAATTCTTTACCTATCTGAAAACTCACTGTCAGGGAAGATACCGTCAGAGCTTGGAAATTGTAAGCTTCTGTCGGAGTTGCAGCTAAATGATAACAAATTTGAGGGTGAAATACCGAGTGAACTTGGGATGTTAACTAATTTAAGACACCTTCAGTTATATAATAATCGTCTAACAGGTGAGTTTCCACTAGATATTTGGAAGATTCAGAGTCTTGAGCTTGTTCTAATTTATAGTAACAACTTATCAGGGGAGTTGCCTGTTGAAATAACTGAGCTCAAAAACCTCAAAAATCTTACTTTATTTGACAATCAGTTCTCTGGAATCATACCTCGTGGCTTGGGGATTAATAGCAGCAGCTTGGTGATAATTGATATCACAAACAATAAGTTTACTGGGGAAATTCCGCCCAACCTTTGCTTCAATAACAAGCTGCAACTTCTGCTGATGGGCTACAATATGCTGAGTGGAAGCATACCTCCTTATGTAGGAAGCTGCACTAGTTTGACAAGGTTGAGGTTTGAACATAATAACCTCACAGGAACGATTCCAGAGTTTAAACAAAATCATAGCCTAACCTTTATTGACTTGAGTGAAAATAAAATTCATGGAAAAGTTCCTTCAAGCCTAGGTAGCTGTCACAATCTCACCTGGATCAATTTCACCAGGAATGATCTTTCTGGCTCTCTGCCTCCAGAGCTCGGAAATTTGACTGAAATTCAAGCTGTTTTTTTATCTCATAATAATTTGAAAGGCCCTTTGCCATCTGAACTTAGCAATTGGAGTAAATTGCTCAAGTTAGATCTGTCTTTCAATTCTTTAAACGGATCAATCCCAGAAAGCCTTAGAAGCATGACAGCCTTATCAACATTAGATTTGGGGGAGAATCGTCTGACAGGAGGAGTTCCACCATTTTTGTTTGAGCTTCAAATGCTCCAAGAACTTCATCTTGGTGGAAATTTATTGAAAGGATCAATGCCTTCCTCAGTCACTGCATCGAAGAACTTAATCCTCACTTCCTTAAATCTTAGTGACAATCAGTTCACAGGTCACTTGCCCCCTGACCTGCAGAGCTTGACCAGTCTACAGTGGATAGATGTATCTCACAATCATTTAACAGGGTCCTTGGATGTTCTTGGTTCTATGCGTAGTTTAGACACTGTAAACATCTCATATAATCTCTTTTCTGGTCCGATTCCCCCATCTTTGTTAAAGAAGCTGCCAACAGCCTTTCTTGGAAATCCTGATCTTTGTGTCGACTGCAGTCACTCCGGTGGCTCCACTTGTAATGGAAGCAAGAATATCAGAATTTGTGATTCTAAACAGAACAATGACAAGGAAAGACTTCACAATGTTAAGATTGCAATGATAGCACTTGGATCGTCACTCTTTACAGTACTTGCTGCACTTTCTATATGCTATGCACTTGTCAAGAGGAAAAAACAACTGCAAAAAGATGCCAAAGCTTCAAGCAAGGAAAATTCTGCTTACACAATCAGTAAAATACTGGAATCTACAGAAAATCTTGGTGAACAGTATATAATAGGGAGAGGAGCCCATGGAACTGTTTACAAGGCTGTGCTCGGCTCAGATGAAGTTGTTGCTGTCAAGAAGATTGAATTTGGGGGAGAAAGAGGCGCAAGTATGAGCTTGGTGAGGGAAATTGAGACACTAGCACATATCAAGCGCAGGAATTTAGTAAAATTGAAGAAAGTTTGGTTGATGGAGAATTATGGTCTAATGCTGTATGATTTCATGGAAAATGGTAACCTTGGTAATGCTCTTCATAGGACAAGCCCTCTGTCAGTTATCAAGTGGGATGTGCGCCACAATATAGCTCTTGGAACAGCCCATGGATTAGCATACCTCCACTTCGACTGTGATCCTCCTATTCTACACCGTGACATCAAGCCTGAGAACATACTCCTCGACTTTGAAATGGAGCCTCGCATCTCTGACTTTGGCATTGCTAAGCTTTTAGATCAATCTTCCATTTCAACACAATCATTGGCACTTCCTGGGACAATAGGCTACATTGCACCAGGTAATACTTTTGAGTATTTGATTTTTATTTATTTATTTTTCTAATATTTTATGGTGAAAATCCAAAGCTTAGAGAACTTAATTTAACTTATTTCATGTACAGAAAATGCATATGCAACAACAAGGAGTAAGGAGTCAGATGTGTACAGCTATGGAGTGGTTTTGCTTGAAATCTTAACCAGAAAGAAAGCAGTAGATGCATCTCTTCCTGAGGGAATGGATTTAGTTGGATGGGCGAGGTCAAAATGGCAGTATTCTGCACAGATTGATAAGGTGATCGATTCCACCCTTCTAGAGGAGTTTCAGGATTCCAAGGTCAAGGAGCAAATTTACGATGTATTTTCCATAGCCTTGAGATGCACTGAAAGGGAACCGAGAAAAAGGCCAACTATGAGAGATATTGTGAATCAGTTAGAAGATGCAAGAAGTAGGAACAAGTCCTAGAATTTCTTAAGCTGTCATATTCATCCAGCTCTGTGTGCTATCCTACCGCCTCTGTATGTACCAATGTAAACATACATTGCAGTTATTTTGCGTCAATTATACATATTTATACGGAGTACTAGAGTCTGTTTGGTACATGGTCATGTGACTTGACTAAAGCATATGTGTGTTCCTATTGAGTATTGACCTATTTGATTCTAAAACTAGCAAATGAGATCATCAATCCTAATTGGACATTTAAAAAAAATGAAAAGGAAGAAGATTGGTTAACACACCCGACAACTGAGAGGTACTGAGAACTTGAATTAAACGATGCTAGCTTGTGCACCAAAACAGCAAAGCTCGATCACTCCACCAGAAGGACTAAAATTCTATCAATGAACTGAAAAAAATGGTTACTCATTAGTCATTTTGACATTCAACTACACAAAACTTAGCTAGGGGATAAGTATCAGTTAATATAGTTTATTACAAGCTCTAAAAAGTACGGTCATACAATTACAAGAACACAAGAATATGTATGTCAGTCTTACGTGCATCAAATAGGGGAAGAGACCTCGGCCTCTTCCCCTCTCCCCCATGGAGTGAAGGACAAGTCACAACCACAACATCACAAGTCAAAACCACAACACCGGTGGTAAGAATGTAAGATCCCAGGGTAAGTGATGTGAATTCGAATTTCACGAGTCACAACCACAAATACCGGTGTAAGATCTATGGCTAACAACTGAGCTACCCTTATTCGTGATCAGCCTACAAACGCTATTAACTTTATTTATTGAAAATAAATCAGAAAGAAATTAACATGTCAATATGTTTCAACAGTCATTGAAAATCCAGCTGTGGATTGAACCTACTTTGAATATAAGTGTATAACTTAACGCCAAACAAATTAATCTAGTTATCAAATCCAATTAGTTTTCCCTGTAATGCATAGAATCAGTCGCAGTGTCATACAAGCTCAGTCACTGTTACAGTTCCCCAATGCAGAAATCTTCTATTATGTCAAATACTCGTGTACCATGCTGTGGCTTCTGTTCCGGTTCTCCAATGCAGAAATCTTCTATTATGTCAAATACTCGTGTACCATGCTGTGGCTTCTGTTCGGTTCTCCAATGCAGAAATCTTCTATTATGTCAAATACTCGCGTACCATGCTGTGGCCTGCCAAGCAAACATGCACACGTATGCATGTCAAAGTGCCAGAAAAAAAAAAAAAAAAAGTGCAGTAACAGACTAACAGCTATATCAAAACCAGCTAAATGTTCACAAAACACAGTTGCCAAAAGCATCAATTAACAACAAATAACAAAATATGAAATCATAAATACACCTGATTTATGGAACTTCAGAAAGTCCACATGACGAGGATCCGTTCATATATTAGTTATTTTTCCTTGATTGATCTTGATCCTTGTTCCTAGCCATGTTATACTACTACCTCCATTTCTTTTTATTTGCAACGATTTAACATAAAGTGTGAGTAGAAAATGAAAATGTCTACAACGCAACAAGCATTTCCATTAGACCATTAGCATAAAGGTGTCAAAGCAAGGCCAAACTAGTCAAGTACACCAGAAATAAGCAGATTACTTCTGAACAGAGAGCACAGAGCAGTCCATACATGATCACACCATATTGGCATTGGAACCTTAAGTAAGGTACATTAAGACTTATTGTTACTTATTCTCATCAATCACATATATACTGTAAAAAATTCACCTTGATATAACCTAATACTACCAAAATTGTTGACAATTTACATAAATTCATAACCAAATAACAAATTCAAACACAAATTCATAAATACAAATACTAGCAATTAATATATAAATTATACTGTTGTTTCTCCTTACATTGAAAACAAACAAACAAACCCATCATTTGTAATCAAAATTAGGCATAGGAGTAGGCGTATCAAAGCTCTCCAACACCGATTCGCCCCTGCTTCCACCTCTACTCGAACCACTCCCCTCCTTCTTCCCTTCACCACCAAACCACCCATCAAAAAACCCACCACTTTGACTCCCCTGCTCAGACCCACCACCAGCACCCGCACCCGCACCCGTTTGAGCATACCCATAGTACGGGTCCCCACCAGCACCAGCACCACCCATTGTCATGTCCGGCTCATCATACATACCCTGAGGCGGCGGCGACATAATCCGATTAACCATGATCCCAGCACCTTCAATCAAAGCAAGAAGAACCCCACCAAAAGCGGCAGAACGAGCAGATGATTTGAGACCCTGACGCATCTGAAGGAACCCACCAGTGGCAGCTCCGGCGAAGATTGAATTCCAGGGATCTTCCTTCTGACGAACATACACCATACCACAGTCGAAAATCGAGAATAAACCACCCCAAACGGCGAACCCACCACCAGTTCGAGGTGCGCTCATTCGAACCGTGTTGACCCCACCAAGAAAGCGCTCACCTTTAGGGGAATTGTAGGCTCCCTTTATGAAATGGAACACTGAACCTCCCACGGCTCCCATGGCGAAGGCGCCGCCTAAGTCGTCCAGGATTCGGTCCGGACATGGTTCTCGAGATGTTTCTGGTGTTCCCATGGCGTCTGGAGCTGTAGGAGAGAGAATTTTGAGAGAAAAAGGAGAGGGGAGAACAAGGGTTTATGTTTGAGCAAGGGTTTATGGTTTCAATTGATTAATTAACTACTTCATTTAAAATAATAATAATAATAATAATAATTAAACAAATTGGTTACTCCGTACAAATATTGCATGTACCATAGACAACAGGCTTGTTCTCTTTAGCTTCAGTTTAGTTCAGTTCAGCTCTAATTAATTTAATTCAATTCAGTTTCTAATTTTCTTCTCTCGTAAAATATTCAGGTTTAGCTATTTCCAGTTCAGTTTAGTTTAGTTCAGCTTCAATCAGTTAAGTTCAGCTTCAATCAATTCAGTTCAGCTCAATGCAGTAAATAAGAACATGCCTTATGTATATATAAATTAGGGTTTATGCTCAGGGTTAGGCAAGTTTGTAGGGTTGAAACAAAGTTTTACATTTATACAAGTTGTAGAACGAGTTAAACAAGCACGACAAATTGAGAGTATGGCAATTCAATGACAATGACAACTAATAGCACGCCAAGTGAATGAATACCCAAATTTCAATTCTTTGGATTCATGCTGGTAACGATACTCAATTACAACTTTTTACACTGCTTATAAACCTCTCGCTCACTTTTTAAATACTTGTAATTGTTACAATCAAATTCAACACACATGCAGATGTATTAAAACCGAAAAGGAAAGTTCTAATCACTTGATTTATTTCTCACTCTCTACATACGATGATACTATGATATTGCAAAATTTTGGTGGATTGAAAAAGATACTCATGTAGACCCATATCATTACATGGATCTTTCCGGACGTTAATCACAATACAGTACTCTTTTTTAAAGATTTCAAGACTAGGTGAGTAACGTCAAACCCTCCTCAACTTGGTCAATTTTTTTTTTTTTAAAAAAAAATGAAGTATTTTTACATTCACTTGTACGAGTATTTATTTTCATATATCATACGAGGCTATCCCCATTAATCAGCCTAAAATAGCATTAGCTACTTTACCACAAAATTATACTACCTATTTATCACTTGATATGCATAAATTGCATACCAACCATACTGACTTGTATTTCCTCTTAGCATTTTTCTATAGGATGTCCACCCAGTTCATTTCGACTATATCTAGATTCGACATGTATCACACACCTAGTTAATACGGAGTAGTGGGTGATTTTTCCAACAACAGTTATTGCATACGTTGAACCTCGAACGAAGACCTTCCAACAAGAGTTTTTGCATATGGTATAGCATACTTCCCATAAATACTTCAAAATTGAACAAGAAAAAATGGCGGGTTAATGAGATTGAATACAAAAATAAGAAAAATACAAGAAAAAAAACCCCACTCTCTTCACATCCTCAGTCACTCTCACTCTACTTTCTCTCTCCTTTACAGAGATCTGAGAAGAAATTCAACGAAAATCTTTGAATTTTTGTTGAAAATGGAGTCGAATTCTTCAACAACTGCACCAAATACTCCTCGTTGGAATTCTGATAGACCTTTTCTTACTGGTCGATTTCATCAGGTTTGCCCTAATTTCTCTAATTTGCTCAATTTCTTCAATTTTGATTTTAATTGCTTAATTTTGGTTGCATATTGATATTAATTTTTGTTTTGAAATAACCTAGGAAATTAAGGAATCATTAACCAAGGGTTTCTCCATGGATTCCTTCAGGTACTACTCAATTTTTTAATTCTAAGTTTTCGGTGATTTCTCTAGTTTCGGAATCAATTATCTGAGAAATTTATGCCATTTGATTTAGTTTTTGTTTGAGTAATTTATATTTTTTAGTTTTATGTATGATTTTTATGCAGTCCTGGAGTGGTAAAAGCCATTGGATGTTACCATGCTTCTGTTCAGGTATTATAGTTTTCGCTGTCGTCTCTTTGTTTACATCGATTTATCGTCGAAAAGCGATGTTTTTTGTTGATCAATGCAATGTTAAAGACCGTCGTAATCAATTACCTTTGGTTAAATTTAGGATTTGTGTGATTTTGAAAAGATTAGGACTATTTTGATGTCAATCTGATATAGTTGGTAGATTTCGAGGTGATGCAAACTTTGGTACTTAATTTTAAATTTATTAAGGGTGAATATTAATTAGAAATTTGTTGATTACATTATTTGCTTTGGTGTAGGAACTCATTGTTATCGATGATCTCCTTTCTGCTTTGGTTGGAATTGAAGGACGTTACACTTCGATTAGAAGAGCCCAGGTAAAGGAGGATAAACTTACCTTCCAGGTTGATGCATCGATGGATTTAGCTCTTCAGGTGAGAATTTGTTACTCCCTGCAAATCTTTTTTATTCTTATACGGAGTAATGTATTACTATTGGTAAGTTTAGATGATTTGTAGAATGCTGATCATGATCATTGTTTGACTACTTCAAGAATTGCTTGTATGTTGGGCGCTAAAACAGCTCTCTGAAAATGTTGCAGGAGTTAGCAAAACGCATATTTCCATTATGTGAGAGTTATTTATTGATCGATCAGTTTGTTGAGTCAAGATCACAGTTCAAGAAGGGACTGGTTAATCATGCCTTTGCTGCTGCAGTTAGAGCACTTCTTCTGGTATGTTTTATGGCCTTCTGCTTTTATTCTGCTGCCACTTGCACCTCCCCCAAAAAAGGAATTTTAAATGTGCTAGTGCAGTTTCTTCTGTCTGCATGTTTTTTGAGAGAGCTTTTGATTCTAGGTATCCAAAAAAGGGAAAGGGTTTTAAGAGACTTCATTCCCTTATCAGTTATCACGTGTTTGTTTCACCTCTCTTTTTCCCCCATTCCCTTCCATTAGCTTCCTTCATTAGGTTATACCAAATTCTTTGTATCCTGATGACCTTCACACAATCACATCATTGGGGTTTTAGAAGCTACCCCCAATATTATGACTTTATGAGGATAATGCGGCTCTTATTTGCAGACTCTTTTGGTGTATATTATAACTATGCATTAGAAGCTGAAAGTCTTTCCTTGTTCATGTTTAAACTTTTAAATGGCTGACATTTAGCTTCCAATAAACTGTTGATCAGGATTATCAGGCTATGGTAGCTCAGCTTGAACACCAATTTCGCTTAGGAAGACTTTCTCTGCAAGGATTGTGGTTTTACTGTCAGGTCTGAGCCTTCTATAATTTGAGCTTTGCAGCTTTCCTTATAATGGATTTTCGATGAAGGAAGTTTAAAGAATGTTCTCTAAATGACCCTCCTATACATCTACTTGTAGCCAATGATGGGATCGATGAAAGCTTTATCTTCTGTGATCCAGAAAGCTTTGTCAAATGACTATGCTGGTGTAGATGTTCTTAACCTATTGCAAAGTCAGGTGAGGGTTTAAGCTCTGCACCAAATTCAAGAGGGATCGTGAAGTACTGTTAGATTTTTCTCCTGTGATTAATTTTGATCTTTCACTTCCTTTAACTAGTTAGATGGAAACCATTATCTTCTTGGTTCATATTGTTACTGTCCAATTGCAGGCTAAAGCTATGGCTGGTGATCATGTTGTAAGATCACTTTTAGAAAAAATGTCAGATTGTGCTAGTTCTGCATATCTCGAGATGCTAGAAAGGTAAGCCTTTAGTATTTAGTTTAATCATCATGCTCTGTATCTCCCCTATTTTGCAGGATTGAGAAAACATCAGGACTCATGTGTGTCAGTGTGTCACAGTGGCATTATTTTTTGTTTGTTTGGAATTTGGTAGTTGGTATTATCTACTTCTCCCCTTTCTCGTGTTGTATGTCTCTCATCGAAAATCTATTGTAGGTGGGTTTATGAAGGGGTAATTGATGATCCATATGGCGAGTTCTTCATCGCAGAAAACAGATCTTTGCAAAAGGTATGCTCATCATAGAGAGTGTGAGCAATGAAATTTCTTTTTTGGAATACTCATATATTTCACTCTTTATTTCAGGAAAGTCTCACATTGGATTATGATGCAAAGTATTGGCGACAACGGTATAGCCTCAAGACCAGCATTCCTAGCTTCCTTGCTGATGTTGCTGGGACAATTCTGACAACAGGGAAATATTTGAATGTCATGAGGGAATGTGGCCATAATGTTCAGGTTTTGCTTTGTTATCATATCTATATGCATGGCTGTTATTATTTTTCATTTTTTGTTCGCTGGGTGCTGGAAGTGTATAATATTTTAGTAGACTGCCTTTGACAAACACGATTTTGTAGGTACGAGTGTCAGAAAATTCTAAATTGCAGAATTTTGGTTCAAACCATCACTATCTTGAATGTATAAAAACTGCATATGATTTTTCCAGTGGCGAGCTGTTAAATCTAATCCGCGAAAAGGTGCATTTCTGTCACTTCGATCATTTAGCCCACCTGCCCCGTTCTCTTTCATGCTTGTTTGTGTGTGGGAAGGCTGGAAGGTGTATCGCCTATGCATGTTTTATATGAGAATTTCTAGTTCCTTAGATTTTTTTTTTCTATCTTTCTGCGTGCAGTATGATCTGATGGGAAAGCTGCTATCTATTAAGCATTATCTTCTTCTGGACCAGGTATGTTTACATTTATTATGAAATTTGTGCAAATTGGTTTCCTAATTGTTTGCTTATTTCCGCCTTCTTAATTTCTTATACAGTCTCACTGCACTGTGCTATATCTCTTTTCTGTATAGGTTGTTGTAAGTTTGATAGCAATGCATGATGTGCTGTGTCTGACTCAGGGCTGTGTCCCAGTGTGTAAGACATCTCATATTGAGGATCAACCAAATTTTCCCTTCTCTGCTAAGACACACTATTATATATTGTTTCATGAGTAGCTATTTTGTAGACGTTATACTCTACATTATGTAGGAGCAATCCAGATGTTTGCATGTATTAAATGTTTTAGAACATCAATAACAAGAACCCATTAATTTCCATAATTCCATGTCATTATTCTGGAGGGAGGGGGAAGGGTGTTCTTCTCACTTAAGATGTCTGTTGCCTTTCCCTGGTGATTTAACTTTTAAGGAGACTCGTTGTTAATTATTCTACAGTTTCTTAATTTTGAGCCACCAATTTGGTGAAAAGTTGATTTAATCCAAGGATAAAATTATGCA